TTCACCCGCTCACATCAAGATTACCTAGAGAGGTTAAGCTTTTACCTAGAAGCTAACAACGTGACGATAGAAGCCAAAAAGAGAGCTGTTTTGTTAACAGTCATAGGGCCTCAACAATTTAGGCTACTAAAAGACTTATGCGCACCAGCTAGTCTAACTACCAAGAGCTTTAACGAGCTGAGCAAATTGCTAACAGACCACCATGCGCCTACCCCATCAAAGTTTTTATGTAGAGCTAGATTTGACAGTAGGACTCGTCAACCAAACGAGTCAATATCAGAATATGTTGCTGCTTTACGTCATTTAAGTAGATTTTGTGAATTCGGCGATACGCTGTCTGACAGACTATGTGAAAAGTTTGTGACAGGTGTAAACAGCCCTGATATTCAAAGAAAGTTGCTGCTCGAGTCAGATCTAAAATTGGAAAAAGCAATACAACTTGCAACTTCATACCAGCAGTCATCAGATGCGGCGAAATCTCTTACGCCTTCAGGGATCCATGCAGTAAACAGCAGGTTAGTCAATAAACATCAACCCCAACAGAGCATTCCAACTTATGCTAAACAGCCTGCTCGTTCAAATCCTAGATCTAAATCTAGTAATAATTATCAAAAATGTCATCGATGCAAAGGTCCCCATGCATCTCATCGGTGCAAGTTCAAGTCTGCAACTTGTTATAAGTGCAGTAAGCAAGGTCACATTGCCAAGGCCTGCTTTGCAAAGTCTTCGTCTGTTGCTAAATCTAGCCAGTCAAGACAGTACCGCAACCAAAGGCAGCACTATGTTAACTCTCACCAAGACTACCTAACCCAACCAATGAACCACTCTACCTGTGAAAATGCTCAAACTGATTCGCAACCGGATTTCAACCTGTTCTCTGTGAAATCAATAAGTCATGCTCCCATCAATGTACAAGTTAATATCAACGGTAAGAGCATCAGCTTCCAACTTGACACTGGAGCATCTCTAACAGTCATAACAAAGAAAGATTTTGACGCTGTCACAGAAGGATCAGTGTCTCTACAGCCGTGTCACAAGTGTCTAACAACATACACTGGTGACAATGTTCCGGTAATAGGAGAGTGTATGGTTCATGTAAGTTATAATGGTCAAAGTGTTAAACTTCCTCTTCTTGTGGTTGAAGGAAATGGACCGCCATTACTAGGTAGGAACTGGTTAAGTGATCTTAAGTTAAATTGGGAGAGTATTTGTTCATTGAAGAATGTAAAAGAATCTAGTCTTACTTCACTAGATAAAGTTATATCTGAAAATAAATGTGTTTTTGGTAATTCAGGTTTACTAAATGATAGAACAGTGAAGTTAAGCATTAAAGATACAAATCCAAGATACTGCAAAGCTAGAGTTCCACCTTATGCAATGAGGAATAAAATTGAAAATGAGCTAAGTAGATTGGAATCTAATGGCATTATAAAGAAGGTAGACTATTCCGATTGGGCGACACCCATTGTGCCAGTGTTAAAGAAGGATGGTTCTATAAGAATTTGTGGAGATTATAAAACTACACTGAATAAGCAAATAGAGCTAAATAGGTACCCTATACCTAACATTGAGGAAATTTCTTTGAATTTGGCAGGAGGAGACAAATTCACTGAATTAGACTTTAGTCATGCTTACACTCAACTAGAACTGCATCCAGATTCAAAAGTCTATACGACAATAAACACACATAAAGGACTCTACCAATATGAAAGACTATGTTTTGGCATATCATCTAGCCCTGGAATTTTCCAAGCTGTCATGGACAGTATTTTTAAGGACATTCCAAATGTTTGTGTGTACTTTGACAATGTGTACATAACTGGTAAGAATGACACTGAACATCTTAAAACACTTGATAAAGTATTGAAAATTGTTGGTGAAAAAGGTTTAAAGATAAACAAAGATAAATGTCAATTCATGCTGACAGAAATTAGTTTTCTTGGTTATGTATTAAGCAAGCAAGGTATCAGACCTCAACCTGAGAAAACTAAAGCCATTAAAGAAGCACCCAAACCTGAAAATACCCAACAACTAAGAGCTTTTTTGGGCTTGATAAATTACTATGCAAAGTTCATAGGAAATCTGTCTGGTAAACTATCACCACTGTACAAGCTGCTACAGAAAAATGCAACTTGGCACTGGGGTAAACAACAAGAAGCTGCTTTTAATACAGCAAAAGAGGCTTTGTCTTCTGACACCTTACTAACTCACTATGACCCAGGGAAAAGACTTATATTAACATGTGATGCTTCACCAGATGGTGTAGGAGCAGTCTTGTCCCACATGGATGAGAAGGGTGACAGACCCATTGCTTTTGCCAGTAGATCTTTGAACCAGGCTGAGAAAAATTATTCTCAGTTAGATAGGGAAGGCTTAGGCATCATTTTTGGTGTTAAGAAATTTCATAAGTTTCTGTTTGGTAGGAAGTTCACCATCTTTACAGATCATAAACCATTGCTAGGTTTATTTGGAGAAAACAAAACCCTACCTGAGCATGCCTCACCAAGAATTCAAAGATGGGCTATCACACTAACTGCATACAATTATGAATTGAAATACAAACCTGGATCTGAGAATAGTGCAGATAGTCTTAGTAGATTACCTTTAAAAAACCAAAGCCTGAGCTATGTACCAGAAGATGTATTTGTTCTCTTCACTATCATGGATAACTCCAATATAAATGTGAATGATATTAAAAGAGAAACACAAAAAGATGAGTGCTTAATAAAAGTATATGAGTACTGTAAGAATGGTTGGCCTGAAGAGTCTGTGAATGATGACTTAAGGCCATATAAAATAAGAAATAAAAACCTTTGTGAAGATAATATAAAAGATGGAGAAGAGGCAGTCCATTATCAGTCAGAGTTGCCTAAACAAAGTATTTGTAACTTAATAAATGATTATGGTGATATGGCAATTTCAAATACATTAGTAAGAAGGAATGTGATCATCAAACAACTTTGCTAACATCATTAGCACTTACAGAAACTAAAAGGGTAACATCAAAAGAAAAGAAAAAAGATTTTTGCCATTTAATACTTTCAGATGCCAATTCAAAAATAGTTCCATTAAATCATGACAACACATTCATTGAAAGAGAATTTGGTGTTAATGAGAATGTGTATCTAAGAAACTATGGGAGAAGGGAAAAATGGATACCAGGTCAAATTGTTCAATGTACAGGACCTGTGCCTTATAAAGTTAAAAATAACTTGTGCAGATAATAAGTGTGAATCTGTCAATCCCACCAAATCTGAACAGTTCACACCAACTCAGTTTGTTCCACAACCAAGTTCTGTTGATATGAGTGAACCAAGTTGTCTAGAGTCAGAAAATGTAAATTCTGGAGTTAATAATTTAAATCCTAGACCTCCTGAGATAGAGAATCCAGATGGTCAGAATCTTGAGTCACCAAATCAGAAGCCACTGAGAAGGTCAAGCAGGACAATCAAAGTCCCAAATAAGTTAGACCTATGATTCTAAAGGTCAAAAGGACTTTGACATTATTGTTTTGTATTTTGATTATGTTGTAGCATATTGTGCATTGTTTGTAAGGATGTAATCTACCATAGTGTTCATGTTACAATATAATTGGTGATTTTAGGATACTATCAATTGTTCTATTGAGAGATGTGTTATTGTGTTCTAAGGGTAAAGGGATGTAATAGATTGAAATAATTGTGAGGTCAAGGGAACTCACTCTTCTGTATTAGTTATATTTATAATATTGTTATCTTGAGTGATGTCCCTTGTGTACTTCCTTCCGTCCTCTCGGTGTGTTACCATCGTGATGTAGTTAGACCCAATAAACGTGTTATATACAACCACAGGCTTCTGTCGTCAATCTATTATAGAAACTCTGCTATTAACTTAGAAAATTGCCTGTTATATAATTTAACAATGGTAAACATTCTATTTTTAAATCATTATTTTCATGTGTGAATTTTATTCTCGTCAGTGAACGTATTTATTAACTTTAAAATAAGAATTAGACCATAAACCAACTCAAGTCACGGTGTCAAGCTGTGTCTGTGATTTATGTTAACGTATTATATTCATTTATTATACAGCATACATAGCCTACACACAATACAGACAGCATGCATAGCCTACATACATTACAGGCAGCATGCATAGCCTACATACATTACAGACAGCATACACAGACTACATACATTACAGACAGTATGTATAGTCTACATATAGTCTACATACATAGTCTAGGCCTACATACCACGCCGTGCAACATTTTAAAAAATAACATGTATCAAGTCTTTAATAATTTAAAACACAAGATTGTTTAAAATAAAAATGTATTTATTCAACTGTGCAGAAGCCAACAAAAATGACCACATTACACAAATTTTAAATATTATTTGGAAACCTGGTTTACATTGCATTGTTACAATGCTTGATAGTTACGCATTGCCATATGAAATTCGTTCATCGGAGGGCCAATTATATCGATTTTCTGCCTGTATCGATGGTAAGATAGGGGTTTGCTAAAGGTAGAGTTCGGGTTACGGTCTAGCAAACACACCTTCGTTACTACCTGCTAGCGAACACAGGACTAGATCTAGTACCTATAACATTACGTAGCTTAGGTATAGAAGGGTTTTCGAAAATAAATATTTTTACAGCCATATTGTTTTCCTAAAAATGTAATAATTCTTTTTCTTTCTACACAAAATCAAATCAGACTCCGCAAAAAAAAAAGCGTGATAATCAGTTCTACTATTTTATTTACATAATGATTCCATGTTAAACAAACGATGAACGGACCACAATATGTTGCCCATATGTGTGTGCAGTTTGATGTAGATGGTTTCCACTAAAACATTGAATATTAGGATCATTTCAATCAAGTCTGTCCTTTGCGAGTTCAAGTGTTATTTACCATAATGTAAAACGTGCACTTTTAAATAATGAAATTAAAAAGCTTTTATGAAGACATGGATTTTTCAGATTCTCTCCCCCCCCCCCCCATGTACACACCGAAAATAAATTCCACCCGTCCCCCACCAACACACACACATCTATATACACACACACACAGAGAGAATGTTGGATATGTTTATCAGAATCTTGGATATGTTAAATAAGGAAAATACCTTGCAAGATGTAACATATAACTGGCATTATGAATTCACATAGCAATCACGTCATCAAATTAAAAATACATCTCAAAACAATTAAATATGTTAATATATGCTGCCTAGTGCATTGATTTATTGTAAAATTACTGCCATTTTCTACATTTGTTTTTGGTAAGTCTTAAAACAGCATTTTGAAAAGTAGGAAGCCTTGTAATAAATGACACTTTTTCTGCTTCGGTCGGATCTTTACAACATTCCTTAGGTAAAATCGTATCCATTTGTCTTAGGTAAGAACTTATTTTATTTCTTGTCTAAGTTCAACGGTGGCAAAAAACATTTTTCGGCGATCTTGGGTGTCGTATTATCAACATTGTACTTTAACACATCAACACCCGATTCATCCTATACTCTCCAATCTTCACTAGTTGGCTACGTTATCAAAGTTCACTGGACCCTAACTATTTGGATGAAAACCGTTCACCGGCCGGAGCTGCTTAGCTTCCACAGCTTGACGTTCCGCCTTAGGATATCCTCGTAGGTCAGCTCGCCGTCCTCCGCCACGTTGAGACAGAGCGAGACCTCCGGGGCCCGGATCTGATACCTGAGGCGGGCCCGGGCTAGCTCGGGGGACAGGTTGGTGAAGGTGCTGTTCAGTGACGTAGTCGACTCGTCAAACTCACTGGCTGAGTCGAACTCGCTCTCGTCAAAGGAACTCAGGGAACCTGAGGGAGAAACCAACATCAATAAATAGGCAGTACACAACAGACTTCTCAACATCAATAAATAGGCAGTACACAACAGACGTATCAACATCAATAAATAGGCAGTACACAACAGACGTATCAACATCAATAAATAGGCAGTACACAACAGACGTATCAACATCAATAAATAGGCAGTACACAACAGACGTATCAACATCAATAAATAGGCAGTACACAACAGACTTATCAACATCAATAAATAGGCAGTACACAACAGACTTATCAACATCAATAAATAGGCAGTACACAACAGACTTATCAACATCAATAAATAGGTAGTACACAACAGACTTCTCAACATCAATAAATAGGCAGTACACAACAGACTTCTCAACATCAATAAATAGGCAGTACACAGCAGACTTCTCAACATCAATAAATAGGCTGTACACAGCAGACTTCTCAACATCAATAAATAGGCAGTACACAACAGACTTCTCAACATCAATAAATAGGCAGTACACAGCAGACTAGTTGAAAACGGGGCTACCAACCCTGCCTCCCAATAACAAATTGAGCAAAATAAACTGGAGATAGGCCTGCATCAACCCAACGTCAACTAGGTCGAGGAGGTTCCTCTTCAACTAAAGAGAGACGCCCAAACCTGAGGTGCAGATGATACAGTCCTTAGCACGTCAAGAGTTTCACATAGTGAAGTAAAGAGGCACTTAGAGGTTATTGGCTTTTGTAATTATATGTTAAATTCTTCCTTCATTCCCCTACCCCACCCCACCTAAATCAAAGCTCTGCCCCCCCCCCAAATCTAAAAAAAACCCTCCCCCCCCCCCCCAATCTAAATCAAAACTCTACCCCCCATCTAAATCAAAACTCTACCCCCCCATCTAAATCAAAGCTCTACCCCCCCCCCCACCTAAATCAAAGCTCTACCCCCCACCTAAATCAACGCTCCGCCGCCCCCCCCCCAGCTAAATCAAAGCTCTGCCCCCCCCCCCCCCCGCCCTAAAAAATCTCAGCTTACTTTCCGTGCTTGACCTCATGTAGCTGTACAAGTTCCGCTTCCTGTCCATGACGTAAGAGGCGCTGTTCTGCCTGTCCAGTGTAGTGCTGTAGCACCTCTTGGAGGGGTGGAGCGGGGGTGGGTGCAGGTAGCTGGAGGAGAAGGACAGGGACTTGCTGACCTTGAGCACACGTGACCTGTGGATCTTCTGGATGGTGTTGCTGATATTGATCAGCTGTTTGAGGAGAGCCAAATCCTGCTCGCGCATGGCCACCTGTTGAGATAGGTGTGTTATTCTTTGGGTCAATCAGAACAGGTGTTTTTTTTAAATGTGAATAGAAATAGTTTGTTAAAACATTTATTAAATCTAGCCCACATCATACAAACACACGCATCTTGATACACAGACGCAAACACAAGCATGTTGAGACACACGCGGTAACACACACACTAACATGCTAACACACACATGCTAACACACGCACGCTTACGCACGCATACTAATACACATGAAGTCTGTAGATGATCTCAAGGCTGAAGGGTTTGTCCACAAATTCTGTGAACGTTGCAGGTTCAAGTCCTGGTTAACCCACGCATGTTAACAATCACACGCGATTACACAAGCGCATGCTAACACACACGTGCAAACAGAAACATGCTAACACATGCATGCTAAAACACACACACACACATACACACACGCTAACACAACTTACCAATTCAGTTTTGAGCGTGTTCAATGCATTACTGATACGATCTGTAGCGGTGCTGTAGTCTGCTGTGTGTGTGGCTACAGGGCCGCTAGACGTGTCAGCACACTGCCGTGTAGTTGACGCACTGTCAACATACTGCCGTGTAGTTGACGCACTGTCAACACACTGCCGTGTAGTTGACGCACTGTCAACATACTGCCGTGTAGTTGACGCACTGTCAACACACTGCCGTGTAGTTGACGCACTGTCAACACACTGCCGTGTAGTTGACGCACTGTCAACATACTGCCGTGTAGTTGACGCACTGTCAACACACTGCCGTGTAGTTGACGCACTGTCAACATACTGCCGTGTAGTTGACGCACTGCCAACACACTGCCGTGTAGTTGACGCACTGTCAACATACTGCCGTGTAGTTGACGCACTGCCAACACACTGCCGTGTAGTTGACGCACTGCCAACATACTGCCGTGTAGTTGACGCACTGTCAACATACTGCCGTGTAGTTGACGCACTGCCAACAGACATTGTTAGTTTATTGTTGTCCTGATACATCACAAAGACTTTAGCATCTGAAGAATTCTTTTCTTTTAACGTTTCTCTCCCTTTGGGTTGTATTATCTCCCTTGCCCTATCTCCTAAGGTACCCTTGGACTTGGCGTGTGGGTCCGAATACAGACCATGTTTAGCGGTGTAATCCTGCAACTCTGGCATCAAAGCGAACGTGACGCTTTTCTTCTCTTCCACCGGAGTTCCGGCTGGTTGGCGGGAAGTGACGTCACCAGATACTTCACCCGGAGAACTATTGGAGATCTTAGCGAGGTCAAGGTCACTGGGTGGTATACGCACTTTATCGAGGGGTGAAATATTTTTGTCAGCATTTGTGTACGATATACTTTTTTCCTTATCACTGTATGGGGTACTTTTTTCTTTACCCGTGTATGTTATAAAGTTTTCTTTATCCGTGCACGGTATAATGTTTGTATCAGAAGAGAGAGTACTAGTTAGTGTTACCCTACTGTCATGCAAACACATAGATTTTGGTGTATCATCGTGGAGATTTTTCGATGAAGATTTTTCCGGTACTGAATCCTTAGGGCCGTTGTTTTCTGGAGTTTTGTGAATGTCTGTGAAAGGATTCTGTGCAATATCTGAAGTATCCATTAAATGATGTCCAACTGTATCCACAGAATGTTGTCCTGTTGTATCCACAGAATGCTGTCCAGCAGTATCCACTGAATGCTGTCCTGCTGTACAAGCAGATCTACTGGACGATTCTTTGTGTGAAGCAGGTTTGACATTCTCCTTTGTGAAAACATCTTTTGGGTTCAAGTTTCTAGGGAGAGACAGCCTCGTCCCAATGAAACTCGTATCAGACTCGGAATGTCCTCCCTGTGTGTTGGACTCTGACTGTGTTCTCGTGTAGTCTGTGTTCAGGGCAGTCCGTAGCCTCGTCCACTCAGTAGTCATGTGTTTCTTGACGGCTGGCTTGACTTTGGAGATGTCGTAACTTGAGGTGGGGCTGGCATCAAACACATTGTCGTCAAAGCTGAGCCTCAAGTTGGTAGACACATTCTCCTGAATCACATCACGTGACTTGATCAACATTGGGTTTGTCTTGCTGTTCTCGCTGGTCTGAGGTGTTCTGTTGGCTACAGTTTGATGTTTAGCTTGTATAACATCCGGTGGTTGTGTCGGGATATTTTGTTTGTTGCTGAATTTGTTGGTACTCTCGGTTGGGACATTTTGTTTGTAAGTCTGTTTGTTGTCAACAATTTTAGTCGGGACACTGAGTTTGAAAATGTTTTTCTTGTCCACAGTTTTTGACACTTCATTTTGACTGAGAATTTTATGGTCGGCACTTTCTGCCGGTATATTTTGTTTGTGTGTGACTTTGTCAACACTTTCTGTCGGTATATTTTGTCTATGTGTGACTTTGTCGGCCCTTTCTGTCGGTATATTTTGTTTGTGTGTGACTTTGTCAACACTTTCTGTCGGTATATTTTGTTTGTGTGTGACTTTGTCAACACTTTCTGTCGGTATATTTTGTCTATGTGTGACTTTGTCGGCCCTTTCTGTCGGTATATTTTGTTTTTGTGTGACTTTGTCAGCACTTTCTGTCGGTATATTTTGTTTGTGTGTGACTTGGTCGTTAATTTCTATCTTTATATTTTGTCTCTGACTGTAAAGTTTGTTGTCGGGAGATGCGCTCAAGGCTGGAGACTTTGTCGACAGACTCTGTGAACGTTGCAGGTTCGAGTCCTGGCAGGACGGACCCAGCCGCATCAGTTTGGGCGGCACACTCCGGAAGCTGCTGGCCCTCTCTGGCGCCACCTTGGTGATGCTGTTGAACTGGCTGATCAGCGCAGACACACGTTTGCTTCTCCGCCGCTCTAGCTTGACATCTACCTCCATCATCTCATCGTCTGCTCCGTCTTCACAGGTCACGTGAGACTCCCCACCACCCTGCCCCGACCCAACGGCTGCTACCGCCCACCTTCGGGCGCTGGGGAAAGTTTCTTGGTTTCGTTTTGTTTCTTGGTTGGATGTGACGTCATGTCCGGTTTCATTGTTGACAAAATCGATGCTAATTCTGGAAGTGTAAACATGACCACGTGGATGATGCTCTGTCGCCATGTTGGCTTTAGATGCGTGTGAGAAGCTGTTCCTTAAGATATTATTCATGCTTTTATTGTCTGCAGTGGAGGCAGTTCTTGTTGAAATGTTGCTGTCGTCGTTGTCGTAGTTAACCTAGGTCCATCATCTGGAACAAGGTAAAAAAAATAACACATGAACACGTCATCAACGTGTGTTCCTGTTAGACGCCAACAACATATTTAACTAATTAGTAATCGGGTAAAGAATGTTCTGGAAAATAGCAAACGCAAATAATCTTACATTTTCACACCATCATTAACATTAGTCTGTGAAGTTTGTCGAAAGTGTATCCTTATTTATCCAATTACTAATCCACAAGAAGAAAACACAGTCTGGATTATAGGATCCAAAACCTGTAAATTTACCCGGATTTGTTAAGTACATTCGCGATCTTGATTGTATGTAGGCCTACCACATTAACATTTGTAATCACTGAGTTTGTTTTAAGAAGTCAACTTTAATTTTCGTTCTTCTTTTATTATACAGTGGTTATAAATATAATTTTTGTCCCTACTAAATTTACCTTACACTTTATCTGCTCGCCATTACACTTGGATAGAAAGAGACGATGAAAGTAGGTAGATGGATACAGTGGCCCACTCAGATGACTACTGCTAGTTCTTTACCAACAAAGAAAACTATTATAGTGCTTAAGTGTGTGTGTGTGTGTGAGGGGGCAGTGCAGTGTATGTGAGGTGTGGGGTAAGGTGTGTGTGGGGGGCAGTGCAGTGTGTGTGTGAGGTGTGGGGGTGAGGTGTGTGGCGGTGGGATCACTTTGAACACGAACCTCACACAAAGCCACCGTCTGATCAGCCAATCTTCAGCCGACGACACGCGAGCGGCGAGAAATGGACAAATGGGAGGCCGGGGTTTAATCACGTGTCGGACTTCGTGACTCTCGCTGTTGTCGCGGGATGTGGTCAGTGTTTGGGTAAGCGAGGTGTCCGAGTTATGCCAAATGTCACGGTGACCCTTTGGTTTAATCTTTTCAACAAGTCTGCTTTCAATATAAAGACTTAATAGTTTAGCATGTCTGTTGTTCTTTTGTTCTTATAACAAAAGCATGTGCACTGATCCCCCTGACCCCCAAAAGGTCAAATATTTTGTACATTTTATATTGTACATTTTATATTGTTCATTTTATATTGTTCATTTAAACACATGAAAGCATCAACACAACCTGTGACGAATCCACGCTTTGTACTTAAACTCAGGCGACACATTGTTTAAAAAATGTATTTTAAACTAATGCATCCTTTCAAAGTTCCGTGTAGATGTAGATCTACATCTATGTCCGTTTTCTATTGTGAACAGCTAGCTTTGTCGTCCGTAATTACACCCAACCCATTAAGCGCTTGATGGCGATTATATAGGAATTTAACGTGGCGAGGGCATATAAAACTAGTAGTTAAGTAATTTATATGTAGTTTATCTTATCTAGTGTTAAAAAGTCTTCTGGCTTTCTAGCTTATTATATATATATATATATATATATATATATATATATATATATATATATATATTAAGTAATTTATATGTAGTTTATCTTATCTAGTGTTAAAAAGTCTTCTGGCTTTCTAGCTTATTATATATATATATATATATATATATATATATATATATATATATATATATATATATATATATATATATACATATATGCATCCAGAAGCAATGTGACGACATTAAGGATCTAACCTGGCCACTCAGTACTTCCACACCCAGCACTGAGGTCAAGAGGACAAGTACCTTTAGCATTACAGACTGTCGTCACACGTCATCTTTGTGCTTAGGCCAGTTAACGGATGTTGACGTTTAGAGTCAGACATTGGCGAAGTAGAGGAAATACGTCATCGTCTTTTGTTACTTTATGTTACTGTCTGATAGAAGAAATGTTAAACCGTCATTTGTTGTGGAGAATAAAGGTTACACCGTCATATGTTGCGGAGAAGAAAGGTTATACCGTCATTTGTTGTGGAGAAGAAAGGTTATACCGTCATATGTTGTGGAGAAGAAAGGTTATACCGTCATTTGTTGTGGAGAAGAAAGGTTATACCGTCATTTGTTGTGGAGAAGAAATGTTATACCGTCATTTGTTGTGGAGAAGAAAAGTTATACCGTCAATTGTTGTGGAGAAGAAATGTTATACCGTCATTTGTTGTGGAGAAGAAAGATTGTACCGTTTTCAAATGTGTACGACAGACTGTACTGTGTTTAGATGTGCACTACAGACGGAAATGTCAGCAAAGTCTGCGTGTATGTACAAGAAACATGACGTCACTTCCCGTTAAAATATCCGATCCTGCTTCTAGATGTCCTTAAATATGATTAGCCTGTCGACGTAATGTCCAAAAAAAACCAAACAATGACTTGAATTCGTGTGCACATAAAGTTTGATCTGCGCGTGAATGAACAGGGTGGACAACCCAAAGTTTGGTCGGACAAAAATGACGAGCAGAGCACCACAAAAGTAGTTTTTTTCCTTCATAAAACTACATAATGAGACATTTTTTTAAAAAACATTCGATTAAACCCAACTAAAACCAAACAGACATTGTTACCATAACAATCTGGTGATTTCATCTCTCTGGTACGATCCTATTTTTATCAAAAACGAAAGTGAAAAAAACCTAAATGTAAACATTTACAGCAGCGCTAGAAGGCTATTTTGTCGTGTAATATCGCATGAACTTCAGAAAGCGAAAAAAGAGCTAAAATTGAACACGCTAGAAACCTAACAATACTTACTTTAAACAACTTTACTGACTACATTTATCTACTGCTGAACAATTTTCCCGACCAACAAGTGCGAGTTCTCTGTTTACCCGACCGTGAACCTTCCGTCAAAAAATCTTGACTCCTATCTTCCAGTTCTCCGACAATGTGGGTCCCAGGAATGTTTCAATGCTACTCTTGTCTGAGGTAATCTCACTCCTGACTTTCCGAGATTATCATAATCCTGTTCTACCTGAGATAATCTCTCTATCTGAGATAATCATATTCATGCCCCTCTCTCGAGCTTGTGTTACCGTTGGCCCATTGCGTAAAGATGTAATCAGAACATTAGCATAAAGTATTCGTGTAAGGAGAGCCAGCTCATGTTTACCTGTCGGCCATCATTACATTCACTGTGGTATTAGATCAGGGGGGGGGGATGTTTGTTCATCACTTACAGTTTTACTGCAAGATTTTTTTTTACGGCAAAGACGATCAGATATGTGTCGGGTAGACTAGCAAGATTTTTTTACGGCAAAGACGCTAGGATACGTGTCTTGTAAACTAGTAAAAAGATTTTAATTCTCTGCCGATATTTACATAGATTTATGGTCAAACTCCCAATAGCTACATTGATTTATCGTCGACTCCCAATAGCTACATAGATTTATGGTCGACTCCCAATAGCTACATAGATTTATGGTCAACTGTCAATTGTTACACAGATTTATGATTTGTTTAGCCAGATGTACAACTACTTTTGTGATGTCTGCCATATAGCCAATTAGAGATTATATCTAAAATGTCATGTCAACCATATAGCCAGATAGATATTAAAATGTCATGTTCATATAGCCAGATAGAGATTACATCTAAAATGTCATGTCACCCATATAGCCAGATAGAGATTACATCTAAAATGTCATGTCCATATAGCCAGATAGAGATTACATCTAAAATGTCATGTCACCCATATAGCCAGATAGAGATTACATCTAAAATGTCATGTCACCCATATAGCCAGATAGAGATTACATCTAAAATGTCATGTCACCCATATAGCCAGATAGAGATTACATCTAAAATGTCATGTCCATATAGCCAGATAGAGATTACATCTAAAATGTCATGTCCATATAGCCAGATAGAGATTAAAATGTCATGTCACCCATATAGCCAGATAGAGATTACATCTAAAATGTCATGTCCATATAGCCAGATAGAGATTACATCTAAAATGTCATGTCCATATAGCCAGATAGAGATTAAAATGTCATGTCACCCATATAGCCTTAGACAGATCAAAATTCAGCCCAAACCAAATTATAAAACCACGATCGATCAACCTATCACACAGATTTAGGTGAAGTGCTGCATCGTGGATTACGTTGGGATTATCTGAGATTTGTTTTGTTATTTCTGAGGTGGATAGAAGATAATTAAGATAGATTATTATTTAGACAGACTGTTATTTGCAATTTGATGAGTTTGTGCATTTTTTCTTGTATGTTGTTTTTTTCATTTGCTGGGATGTCAAGCATTTGGTCTGTTGGCAATGTTAGGCGCTATGGGATGGTAGTTTACACTGGCGCTATGGGAGGGTAGATTATCACTGGCGCTATGGGAGGGTAGATTGTCACTGGCGCTATGGGATGGTAGATTGTCACTGGCGCTATGGGAGGGTAGATTATCACTGGCGCTATGGGAGGGTAGATTGTGTATGGCTCTATGGGATGGTAGATTGTGTATGGCTCTATGGGAGGGTAGATTGTCACTGGCGCTATGGGAGGGTAGATTGTGTATGGCTCTATGGGATGGTAGATTGTGTATGGCTCTATGGGAGGGTAGATTGTCACTGGCTCTATGGGAGGGTAGATTGTCACTGGCGCTATGGGATGGTAGATTGTCACTGGCGCTATGGGAGGGTAGATTGTCACTGGCGCTATGGGAGGGTAGATTGTGTATGGCTCTATGGGGGGGTAGATTGTGTATGGCTCTATGGGAGGGTAGATTGTCACTGGCGCTATGGGAGGGTAGATTGTGTATAGCTCTATGGGAGGGTAGATTGTCACTGGCGCTATGGGATGGTAGATTGTGTATAGCTCTATGGGAGGGTAGATTGTCACTGGCGCTATGGGATGGTAGATTGTCACTGGCGCTATGGGAGGGTAGATTGTGTATGGCTCTATGGGATGGTAGATTGTGTATAGCTCTATGGGAGGGTAGATTGTGTATGGCTCTATGGGAGGGTAGATTGTGTATGGCTCTATGGGAGGGTAGATTGTGTATGGCTCTATGGGAGGGTAGATTGTCACTGGCGCTATGGGATGGTAGATTGTGTATAGCTCTATGGGAGGGTAGATTGTGTATGGCTCTATGGGAGGGTAGATTGTCACTGGCGCTATGGGATGGTAGATTGTCACTGGCGCTATGGGAGGGTAGATTGTGTATGGCTCTATGGGATGGTAGATTGTCACTGGCGCTATGGGATGGTAGATTGTCACTGGCGCTATTGGAGGGTAGATTGTGTATGGCTCTATGGGAATGTAGATTATCACTGGCGCTATTGGAGGGTAGATTGTCACTGGCGCTATGGGAGGGTAGATTGTCACTGGCGCTATGGGAGGGTAGATTGTGTATGGCTCTATGGGATGGTAGATTGTCACTGGCGCTATGGGATGGTAGATTGTCACTGGCGCTATTGGAGGGTAGATTGTGTATGGCTCTATGGGATGGTAGATTGTCACTGGCGCTATTGGAGGATAGATTGTGTATGGCTCTATGGGAGGGTAGATTGTCACTGGCGCTATGGGAGGGTAGATTGTGTATGGCTCTATGGGAATGTAGATTATCACTGGCGCTATTGGAGGGTAGATTGTCACTGGCGCTATGGGGGGGTAGATTGTCACTGGCGCTATGGGGGGGGGGGGGTAGATTGTCACTGGCGCTATGGGAGGGTAGATTGTCACTGGCGCTATGGGAGGGTAGATTGTCACTGGCGCTATGGGGGGGGGGGGTAGATTGTCACTGGCGCTATGGGGGGGTAGATTGTCACTGGCGCTATGGGAGGGTAGATTGTCACTGGCGCTATGGGAGGGTAGATTGTCACTGGCGCTATGGGGGGGGGGTAGATTGTCACTGGCGCTATTGGAGGGTAGATTGTCACTGGCGCTATTGGAGGGTAGATTGTCACTGGCGCTATGGGAGGGTAGATTGTCACTGGCGCTATGGGGGGGTAGGTTGTCACTGGCGCTATGGGAGGGTAGATTGTCACTGGCGCTATGGGAGGGTAGATTGTCACTGGCGCTATGGGGGGGGGGGTAGATTGTCACTGGCGCTATTGGAGGGTAGATTGTCACTGGCGCTATTGGAGGGTAGATTGTCACTGGCGCTATGGGAGGGTAGATTGTCACTGGCGCTATGGGAGGGTAGATTGTGTATGGCTCTATGGGGGGGTAGATTGTGTATGGCTCTATGGGATGGTAGATTGTCACTGGCGCTATGGGATGGTAGATTGTGTATGGCTCTATGGGGGGGGGGGGTAGATTGTCACTGGCGCTATGGGATGGTAGATTGTGTATGGCTCTATGGGGGGGTAGATTGTCACTGGCGCTATGGGAGGATAGATTGTGTATGGCTCTATGGGAGGGTAGATTGTGTATGGCTCTATGGGATGGTAGATTGTCACTGGCGCTATTGGAGGATAGATTGTGTATGGCTCTATGGGAGGGTAGATTGTCACTGGCGCTATGGGAGGGTAGATTGTCACTGGCGCTATGGGAGGGTAGATTGTCACTGGCGCTATGGAAGGTTAGATGGCCTAATCAATCTCTTCCGTTATAACACACACACACACACACACACCACACAAATAGAAACTGTTTTTCCACAGGCCAATATTTCGACAAATGTTTCGTGGGTTGGTCAGGTCATTAACGTCAGGTCATTAATGACAAGTCATTAATGACCTGACGTTAATGACCTGCAGGTCATTAATGTCATGTCATTAACTTCAGGTCATTAATGTCAAGACATTTAGGTAGGTCACCTCTAATCAAATAACAAAACAGTCACCGATGTTTGAAGTCACTATCACGACAGTTTGAAGAAAAACAATCAGCCGACGTGTCTTACGAGTGTCCGACTTACCATCAAGTGTCCGACACTTTAACCGTCTAATTATAGCAGCAGATTTTTTGGTGGTACTTAGCGGCCCTACAAGCGGAAACTACGGCAGCCATTAGCGCGATAGGTTGGTGTGTTCGTGTGTTGGTTTGTTTGTGAGTCGGTGTGTTCGTGTGTTGGTTTGTTTGTGAGTCGGTGTGTTCGTGTGTTGGTGTGTTCGTGTGTTGGTTTGTTTGTGAGTCGGTGTGTTCGTGTGTTGGTTTGTTTGTGGGTCGGTGTGTTTGTGGGTCGGTGTGTATCCAGCTTTTATCTACAACTTTTACCATCATACAACAGCTGATTCCCCGCGCCGACTGACCAGACTGTATCGCAACTACTGCATGTTTAGAGTGGTCAGAGTTGATACATGAATGGGTCTTGCATAAAGGCTGTCTGAGAGTAAACATTGACGAGTAGCTTGTTTTGTTTAGGGTAAGGCTCTAGAGCTGTCGGCCTTTTGTTATTGTCAGTCCTAGAACTGTACACCTTTGGTCAGTCAGCCGTTTGTCTTGACATTATAAGTCAATAAAATCTTTTGATGGTAAAATTTGTTTTTTCCTGTACGTAGATTTTGCACTTCACATTTAGAGCGATGTAAACTTGACCACACCCCCAGGATTGCGATGTTTTCATTACAATTTTGTATCACCCAACTGTCAAGATTACACTTGCCTGTCAATGAGGTTAAATCAACACACGAGACCCCCCCCCTCCCCCACCCACCCAGTCTGTATTGTAAGGACTGTCTTTAATTAGTGGCGCTGTACACGCATAAGAAACGACGTAGATGATAACTCTGACGACAGGTTTGTAAAACATCGGCCCAACAATGTTGTAGAGAGAGAATGAATTAGATAGATAAGACCATATCACATATGTAGACCAAGGCAATTGAAAATGTCACGCTCATAAAAACATAAGATAAGCCCGTATGTTTATGTGACGAGTCATTATGTGGTTATTGTGACAAGATCGCATGTTTTTATGTACACTTAATGACACTTGATACAACTAACATTGACAGTACAGGCCTAACCTTGACTCGGTCAATACGTGAGGAACGGGGGGGGGGGGGTGAAAGAAAAGCACATATATATATATATATATCAGCCGTCGAAAAGGCTGTGACAAAAGGCTCCCCAGGTCGATTCTGTACATGCCAATTGAAAATTCAAATGGGCCTATACAAAATTTTATGAATTAAAAAAGTGTTAAAGTGTGTAGGCCTCTGTATAATGTTAGCCGGGTTAGAAAAGTATTTATAAAAAAAAACAAAGGCATTAACAGGATTAGAAAAACTTACCTACACGGCTGAACTTAGTGCGAAGTTACGAAGTTGATGTCACACTACTTTGCTCGTTCTTCACAAAACTAGCGCTTTATGTCAGAACTTATTCTTCGCGTATCACAAGACTAACTAACTAGATCTAATGCTGTAAGTCAGAATGTATTCAGTGCACACAACTATCTAGATCTAACGCTTTATGTCAGAACTTATTCCTCACTGATCACAAAACTAGCTAGATCTAACGCTTTAAGTAAGAACTTATTCCTCAAACATCACAAGACTAACTAGATCTAACGCTTTAAGTAAGAACTTATTCCTCAAACATCACAAGACTAACTAGATCTAACGCTTTAAGTAAGAACTTATTCCTCAAACATCACAAGACTAACTAGATCTAACGCTTTAAGTAAGAACTTATTCCTCAAACATCACAAGACTAACTAGATCTAACGCTTTAAGTAAGAACTTATTCCTCAAACATCACAAGACTAACTAGATCTAACGCTTTAAGTAAGAACTTATTCCTCAAACATCACAAGACTAACTAGATCTAACGCTTTAAGTAAGAACTTATTCCTCAAACATCACAAGACTAACTAGATCTAACGCTTTAAGTAAGAACTTATTCCTCAAACATCACAAGACTAACTAGATCTAACGCTTTAAGTAAGAACTTATTCCTCAAACATCACAAGACTAACTAGATCTAACGCTTTAAGTAAGAACTTATTCCTCAAACATCACAAGACTAACTAGATCTAACGCTTTAAGTAAGAACTTATTCCTCAAACATCACAAGACTAACTAGATCTAACGCTTTAAGTAAGAACTTATTCCTCAAACATCACAAGACTAACTAGATCTAACGCTTTAAGTAAGAACTTATTCCTCAAACATCACAAGACTAACTAGATCTAACGCTTTAAGTAAGAACTTATTCCTCAAACATCACAAGACTAACTAGATCTAACGCTTTAAGTAAGAACTTATTCCTCAAACATCACAAGACTAACTAGATCTAACGCTTTAAGTAAGAACTTATTCCTCAAACATCACAAGACTAACTAGATCTAACGCTTTAAGTAAGAACTTATTCCTCAAACATCACAAGACTAACTAGATCTAACGCTTTAAGTAAGAACTTATTCCTCAAACATCACAAGACTAACTAGATCTAACGCTTTAAGTAAGAACTTATTCCTCAAACATCACAAGACTAACTAGATCTAACGCTTTAAGTAAGAACTTATTCCTCAAACATCACAAGACTAACTAGATCTAACGCTTTAAGTAAGAACTTATTCCTCAAACATCACAAGACTAACTAGATCTAACGCTTTAAGTAAGAACTTATTCCTCAAACATCACAAGACTAACTAGATCTAACGCTTTAAGTAAGAACTTATTCCTCAAACATCACAAGACTAACTAGATCTAACGCTTTAAGTAAGAACTTATTCCTCAAACATCACAAGACTAACTAGATCTAACGCTTTAAGTAAGAACTTATTCCTCAAACATCACAAGACTAACTAGATCTAACGCTTTAAGTAAGAACTTATTCCTCAAACATCACAAGACTAACTAGATCTAACGCTTTAAGTAAGAACTTATTCCTCAAACATCACAAGACTAACTAGATCTAACGCTTTAAGTAAGAACTTATTCCTCAAACATCACAAGACTAACTAGATCTAACGCTTTAAGTAAGAACTTATTCCTCAAACATCACAAGACTTACTAGATCTAACGCTTTAAGTAAGAACTTATTCCTCAAACATCACAAGACTAACTAGATCTAACGCTTTAAGTAAGAACTTATTCCTCAAACATCACAAGACTAACTAGATCTAACGCTTTAAGTAAGAACTTATTCCTCAAACATCACAAGACTAACTAGATCTAACGCTTTAAGTAAGAACTTATTCCTCAAACATCACAAGACTAACTAGATCTAACGCTTTAAGTAAGAACTTATTCCTCAAACATCACAAGACTAACTAGATCTAACGCTTTAAGTAAGAACTTATTCCTCACTGATCACACAACTAGCTAGATCTAACTTATTTATGTCAGAACTTTTCCTCAAACATCACAAGACTAACTAGATCTAATGCTTTATGTCAGAACTTATCCCCACCCCCTGAGCCCATCCCACACACCCCGCCCACACCGCCCTTATGAATGAGTGTATGAAGGTCCACAAACTTAAAGCCCACATTTGATCAATATTGACATGGAGAAAAGGGGAGGGAACTGATACGGCCGGTGATTACGTCTACAGGAGACCCTATGACACATACCTGGTGGTTTCCGGCGTGTGAAAACACAGGAGCCATTCGTCTTGTATGCACCGGCTGACACAGTAATAATATGTCATCTACACATTTGACACGGTAATAATATGTCATCTACACATTTGACACGGTAACAATATGTCATCTACACACCTGACACGGGAACAATATGTCATCTACACACCTGACTCGGTGACAATATGTCATCTACACATTTGACACGGTAACAATATGTCATCTACACATTTGACACGGTAACAATATGTCATCTACACACCTGACACGGTACCAATGTGTCATCTACACACCTGACACGGTAACAATATGTCATCTACACACATGGTAACAATATGTCATCTACACACACGGTAACAATATGTCATCGACACACCTGAGACTGTAACAATATGTCATCTACACACCTGACACGGTACTAATATGTCATCTACACACCTGACACGGGAAAAATATGTCATCTACACACCTGACACGGTACCAATGTGTCATCTACACACCTGAGACTGTAACAATATGTCATCTACACACATGGTAACAATATGTCATCTACACACACGGTAACAATATGTCATCGACACACCTGAGACTGTAACAATATGTCATCTACACACCTGACACGGTACTAATATGTCATCTACACACCTGACACGGGAAAAATATGTCATCTACACACCTGACACGGTACTAATATGTCATCTACACACCTGACACGGTAACAATATGTCATCTACACACCTGACACGGGAATAATATGTCATCTAAACACACGGTACCAATGTGTCATCTACACACCTGAGACTGTAACAATATGTCATCTACACACACGGTAACAATATGTCATCTACACACACGGTAACAATATGTCATCTACACACCTGACACGGGAATAATATGTCATCTAAACACACGGTACCAATGTGTCATCTACACACCTGAGACTGTAACAATATGTCATCTACACACACGGTAACAATATGTCATTTACACACACGGTAACAATATGTCATCTACACACCTGACACGGTACCAATATGTCATCTACACACCTGACACGGTACCAATATGTCATCTACACACCTGACACGGTACCAATATGTTATCTATACACCTGACACGGTACCAATATGTCATCTACACACCTGACACGGTACCAATATGTTATCTATACACACGGTACCAATATGTCATCTACACACCTGACACGGTAACAATATGTCATCTACACATCTGACACGGGAACAATATGTCATCTACACACCTGACACGGTACCAATATGTCATCTACACACCTGACACAGTAACAATATGTCATCTGTGACCTACTTAGGTCGAGTCAGGTTCTATTTTTATTTTGACATTGTATAATACCTTATATGGAGTGATTGTGCAACATAGAAATTTTCCATTAAGATCTGATTGAATGATTCTGGTCAGATGACTACCCCATAGCTCAATGGCTAAGATCTCGGCGCGTCACGGCGGCGGCCGAGGTTCGAATACTCGGTGAGAAACTGAGTAGAGTCTATGGTGCCTAGTGGTCTAGTGGCTTAGAAACTCGGCTTGCTGCCGAGTAGTGTGGCATAGTGGTTAGGAACACCACTAGTGGCCTAGTGGTTAGAACCACGTAAAGTGTCACACCATAGGAAACACAACCAGCACGATAACAGTAGCTCAAGTGGCCTTGAGTGATCTGTGAGTCTCCATTTGAGACTTGTCGCAGGCAGTTTTACCTTGATCAGGCAGCCGTCCATATTGTCCGGCAATAGATTCTGACCATTTGAACGTGAGAGAACTTAAGTCCTGTGTGTGCTACGCTTTCTTAAGTTGATTTAGTCTTCTAGTATAATATTACTTGTCGCCAAGTAATTCTTGAAGCTATAGCAGTGTTGTGTGGCCTGTGGCTATTATTAGGCAGTGTTGAAATCTGTGATAGTGTTTTTTCCTACATTTTGTAAGTTGGGTTTTGATATTTTATACATTAAATATTTTATCTAGTTTCACCATGTGTTCTGCCACAACTGTGTTCGCTGATTAAAGGTTGTATGTAGATTGGATGAGTGTTAATTACAATAGTATCACTAGTTTCCCCTAGACATCGAATTCGAGCCCTAGTGTGCCGTTGTGTTAGTATTCATCCATTTAAGCCGTAAGGCATTTGCATATAACCCCGAAAAAAGAATCCGGGGACGTTCACCTTCTATTTGGCTGATAGATAGGGGACGTTACAAAGTGGGGGCTCGCCGAGATTTAATCTGTCGTTCCAGTTGTTGGTTATATCAGTAAGCACTAAGTTTAGTTTGATTTAGTTGTGTTTATATCCAGTGAAGCCGTGTTATTGAAACGCGCGCAAGGCTAGGATTATCTAGGTCAATAGCCAGACGTGTCGTCCTAGATTGAAGAGGTCAAGTACACGGCCCAACGTTCAGTGTTAAGTTAGTGAATCTAGGCTTGTTGTGTTTTTGAAAGTTAGTGTTATGGAGTCTTTTTTGGCTAATCCCACGGTTGAAGATGTAGAAAAGTTGAGTAGAAAAGTTTTGGTTAGTGTTGTTAAGGAATTGAAATTGGATTATTCTGTTACGCAGAAATCAGAGGTGTTGAGAGATAAAATTGTTGTTCATTTCATTAATGAAGGTGTATTTGATGAAAGTTTGTTGGCGGATGTGTTACTTCGCGAGGAGAAACCTCTAGAAGAGAGGGAGCTTTTGTTAAAAGAAAAGGAGTTTGAAACTAAAAGTGCTTTAGAGAAGGAGAAAGTTGCTTTAGAGAAACAGGAGTTAGAGGCTAAAATTGCTTTAGATAAGAGGAGGTTGGAATTAGAGTTTGGTCAAGTTAGTGATGTCACTTCTCTGGTAGATCCAAAAAAGTTGTCGGTAGGGCAAGTGATTGCCAAATTTGGGAAATTAGTTCCTAAATTTGATGAAAC